CCCCAAAACCCCAAAACCCCAAAACCCCAAAACCCCAAAACCCCTATGCACAATTCTCAATTGAATAATTTCGCAACTTTTAACGCTCTTTGACTGTCACCAGAGGGATGAAATGACTACCAAGGCCAAACCCAATATCTTTGTTATTCAGTTGTTCTTCATCAAACTGGATATCCAGGTGGGTCACTAGATAAGCTATGGCTACCTTCATCTCCAGCATGGCGAAGGATTGACCAGGACAACTTCTCATGCCATGACTGAAGGTTCTTCTGGAGTAGACGTCCGGTTTGATTCCTGTTTGCTTAGCTCTCTTATAGTACTCAGACTCGAAATCATGTCTCTCTGGGATAAACTCATACTCATCAAGCCATTTATTTTTGTCGAAGTGGCAAGTAGACAGATCAATCCTGATCTTGGTCCCCTTGGAGATAGGAACGCCACATATCTTAATATCTTCCAATGCTGCATATGCAAAGCTACGAGGTACGACAATATCGCATCTGAAAGCTTCTTTGACACAACAAGTTAGATATGTCATGCTCTGAATTTTCTCCATTGTGCATAACTCAAAGAAGCTCTGTCCTTTTCTAAACCCATTGTCTTTCAGTTCTTTTCTCAATTTAGCAAGAGTACTAGGGTGTTTGTTGAGGAAATAGAGACAAGATACTAAAGAGTGGGATGTGGTCTCTGAACCTGCAAGCATGACCCCACAGACCTCGTCAAGTTTCTCTATCTCTGATGATATAGGGTCACTGAACATGTAATGAGCTGCCTTCTTCTCCTTTGAGTTCTTCACAATCTCCAGAATGGCTCTCTTGAACTCTGCAGCATTTTTAGCGTCTCTCTTGAAAGGGTTCACTAGTCCTCTATTCTTCAGGAACTTGAACATATGTGACAGCGGGTGGAAGATCTGTGCGATGTAGCACTTGGTCAATCTGATCAACATCTCTCTCAATTCTATCATCTCAGTGGAGCCATCAGGGTTCTCGTAAGGGTAGAGTTTGGATACAAGTTCCTTGACATCATCACCAAACAAGATATCTGAAAATACATCAAAAGTCACGACATTCATGGAATGAATGAGATCAACTTGCTGTTTTGTCTTCATTTCTTTACTCACTCTCTCAAGACATCTTAACATGTGAGGGATATATGTTGAAGCAGAGTTCAATGAGACCCAAGAGAGAGTATTCTTCCTTCTTCTCATCACCTCTTTTGTTGATTTCATTGTTCCTAATGAATTAGGAATGAAGCTAGATACACCTGAGTGTTGATCGTCCTTGTCTATTTTTGTAACCTGCATGCTGAGGAACTCTTCAAGTGCTTTGTTACTTAAGACCATGATGGTAGGGAAAATTCCATCAAGGATTGCTCTGAGGTCATGCTTGTTGTACTTTTCAGCCCCATTCTTCATATATGAATAGTGTACTTTGTTGTTTTGCATTGAATCCCTGTGATCCTTCATATCGCCAAGAATTGGGCTAAAAGACTCTCTGGTGATTACGTTTGGGTACTTCTTGTACTTCCTCCAAAACAAATAGGGCTGAATCAGTACAGTGTTTAGGACATAAATGATTAGTCCTAGCAACAATAGCAGGAAGTAACTGAAGATTGAGCTGAAGTAGCCTGAGATAGGCATCAAGTTTATCATTTTATTTATTATTCGTCATTTCTAACCTCAATTTTTAAACTCAGTGTGGGGTTTTGGGGTTTTGGGGTTTTGGGGTTTTGGGG